GATACATGCTTTCCTGAAAGACTTTGAGACTACGGAGCAATGTACTAATCCTAAAATAAATCTAACATTGAAATACAATTTCATACAACAAATCTGAAGCATAAATATTATATAATATGAAGCATAAATAAATATAAATCAAAAAAATATTACAAAATAGTATTATGAAATTTAATACCACACATATATGCACACGAATCAGTGACACATATCAAAAACAGCTGCCAGCATTTTAAGGCAGTGCAATGGAGAAACAAGGACTACAGAAACCAAGAGCACACTGGAAGAGGTGCTAATGCTCAGCAACTATTAAAACCATACTCATCAGCCAGTATAAATGAGAGTTCATACTGTCTTACTGTTCTTGTTCTTTGACCCAGGCATCTTTTAATACTTTTAATACTATGATTTCAACTTTTGTTTGCAATTTTCAAGAAACACAGAAGGAACCTCTTTAAAAACAGAAGAAAGGTCTGAATGCTATATGGAAAAAAAGTTTTACCAACTCTTACAATAAGCTCTAACCTGCCCTAGAAACATAAAAAAATTCACATTATAAAAATTTGGGCAATTTCTTAACTCAATGTCGACGGAAAAATGGCACGTTCCCTTTGGCAATGCTTGGTTAAATGTTTCTACACATAGATGGATCTGCCAATTCTTAGCTACAAAGGAGTCAATTAGTAGATCTCGCGACCTAACTTTTCCAAGAAAAAGCAGGAAAAATGTTTTTTTTAATAATGCTATCAATAATGACATTGTTAGTTTTGTTATAAACATTATAATTACTATATTGTTACTGACATTACTAACAGCAATATTAAATATTAGAGAATATTATTGAAAATCAAGGAAAAGGATAAACAGGTTAGACAGGTAGTTTGCGTAATTGGCTCATCGGTGGAGCCATCTATATTTAAAAACAATTACTAAATTCAACACACACAATGGGCAATGGCATGTACGTACTTGCCATGCCCAGCGGCTTGGGGTTAAGCATCAGTAAAAAGTATATCAAACACCTTCCAAATAAAAATCTGAAAAACCCTTCTGAAAATCACCCTACACACTACTCACTCCTTTAACTCTGACAAATGATGGGAAGAAACTCTGTAACAGATTGTATAAGCTACAGGTAAGAGCCACATTTATCTTATAATCTCAAACCATCTATTCAATTTTTTATTTATTTAATAAATAACTACTACCAATATTTTCTTTAAATAATTCCATCCTTCACAAAACAATTTTCCCTCTTTTGTTAGAAATAAACCTATTTACACCAAGTCACTACCAATATGTATATAGGACTGACCCAACAACATCAAAATGTAAGAGATGAGAGACAAGAGGTTAACTGCATTCTCCAATCAACTTTCCTAAAATGAATAAATGAAGGAATAAAAACAAAATATATTTCCAACATGAAAAAAAAACTAAAAAACATAACCCATACCAAGCACTTTCCAGTCACTTTGTCACAAGTGCTTGCATGTCCATTGCACTGGCATTGGACACAGTATCCACCATAAGGCCCTTGTTGAGCTCTATAGTATCCATCAGCACATTCTTCACATGATGAGCCTTAAAAATAAAGAAAAAACATTGAGTCTAATTACAATGCATAGCAAGCAAAGCTAGTAGGATAACACATGGGCCTACTATCATTTTGGTCCACTAGAGCCATAAGCTAAAAAAAAAAAATGGACTCAAGATTTGTATGCAAGATGAGAAACTGAATTTCTAGATAAATTGCATAATAGTGACCTGAAAATCTAATAAATCTCACCTTCAATAACATACAGAACACTGACAGTGTGAAAAAAACATTCCAGAAAAACAAATTTTCAAAAGGCTATGCAACTTACCTTGGTAATTCACAGGACACTGACACAGTTCAACAGACAAGGATGATCTAGCTCCTGGTCCTGGCCAGGTGATAGTTGCAGCTTCCATACTAACATTGTACAACCTGGAATGATTCACATAGTTATTTTTCATGCCTACATATTCAGATTACTCATATTTTTATTCCTTGATGTAACACTGTTTGTAAGCATGAGCAGCTTTATTACCTGGCTTCAACAGAGTTGCTCCAGTAACTGGCTCTAATGAATATACCATCCAGTCCATACAGCAACATCATGAACTGATCCCTCTGCAGTGGAGCTCCTATACAAATCATATAATCCATTATTAGAGAGAATATTTTCATATCAAAGCTATTTCATATCAGTTGCCATTTCTTATCATAATCTTTTGAGAACTGACATAGCTTTTCTAACATCTACAAAACAAAAAAAATATATATTTTTCTAAAAGTCTAGAAAAGGATTCTTAAATCTGTTTTATTTTCAGAATGGGCATTAGAACACATAATTACCTGACAGTGTTCTAAAGCTGTGTTCTGTCAGCCGAACATAACCATCATACACTTGAGACGTTGCTGGATCATATTCAGAATAATACAGTGCAATGACATTACTTCCTGTCAGGATAA